GGGAGCCAGGCACAGAGCTCAGGAAGAGGACAAAAAGGCCACTTGGGATGATGCCTACAGCCATCTTGGGCCAAAGCCAACAATTATTCAAACATGGGCTTATTTTTTTTAAATGCTTACATAGCATTTACTATATGCTGGATACCATAGCAAGCAGTTCACAAGATTACCTACTTTAATGTAATCCTTTTAACAACCCTCTTATCCCCATTTAATGGATGAGGAAACTGAGACCCAGAGAGGTAAAGTTATTTGGCCAAAGTCACTCAGCTTGTAGGCACCAGAGCCGGGCATGAGCTCCAGCCCAGCTCCAGCCCTCCCAGGAGTCTTCCCCAGGGCACCATTTATCGCGGCCCGGCTCCTTGTTCTCACACTAATTATTTTCCACTCGTCTACAATGAACAGAATTCGCCATCTGCCACCAGCCCTGCTACTGACACCAGCCAACTCCCTGGGAATCAATTGGGGCCTTTTGTTTCCTGCTGGTTGTTCTGGAAGGGTGGCTGGCTGCTGGGGAATGGGAAGGGAGGTCCCGGGAGGGCAGCAGGACCCTTTCCTGACAGCCAGGAAGGGTCTTCCTTCCGCCCCCAGCCTCCCTCAGCCTCTCCTCCTGGACCATACCCGTTCCGTCCTGGGCTCCAATGTATGTTTCCAGTAGTGGAGGGAGTCCCCAGGCTCGGGCCGGGCCAGGTTTGGCTTCTGGACTCTTCCTTGGAGGCTGTTTTCTGGAAACTCAGGACCTGTCCATGTCCCACACTCCTTCCAGTGCCGGGGACTGAGGTGGCCTGGAGCACCCCAGACAGGCGGTGGCACTGGCCTCTGCCCTCCAAGCCCTCTTGGCCCAGGCTGACAGTGCCTGCACTGGGTGGCACGGGGCCATTTCTCCTGCCTCTGTGTGGGGAAGGGTACAGCCAGGCAGGCTGCTGGCACCCATCCCTGGCTCCCTTTCCACACTGCCCCTGTGTTCTCACTCCCCTCGTGCTCTGACATGTCTGTACCTCGTTCTCCCCAGAACCCTCCTTTCTCAGAGGTGTTGACCTGGAGGGTGGCATCCAGTGAACCGACCAAGGCTTACCCTCTGGCCCTGGAGGGCACAACCCTGGGATTTTTGTTTTTTTATTTTTTATTTTTTTTTATTATTATTATTATTATTTGAGTTGAAGTCTCACTCTGTCACCCAGACTGGAGTGCAGTGGCCACTCCCAGCCACCGCAGCCTCGCCTGCTGGGCTCCGGCGATCCTTCTGCCTCAGCCTTCCAAATAACTGGAACTAGAGGCGCGCGCTACCATGCCTGGCTAATTTTTTATTTATTGTAGAGATAAGGGCCCACCAAGTTGCCCAGGCAGGTTTCGAACCCGCGGGCTCAGGCAATCCACTCACCTCGGCCTCCCAAAGCACGGGATTACAGGCTGAGCCACCGAACCCTGCCTGTTTTTTTATTTTTGAATCAGAGTTTCACTCTATCACCCAGGCTGGAGGGCAGTGGCACACTCACAGCCACCGCAGCCTCAACCTGCTGGGCTCAGGTGATCCTTCCGCCTCAGTCTTCCAAGTAGCTAGAACTACAGGTATGTGCCACCACGTCCGGCTAATTTTTCTTGATTTATTGTAGAGATGAGGTCTCACCAAGTGACCCAGGCTGGTCTTGAACCCATGGGCTCAGGCAATCCTCTCACCTCGGTCTCCCAAAGTGCTGGGATTACAGGAGTGAGCCACTATACCCGGCCAACAGCCCTGGGTTTGAGTCTTGGTTCCACCACTTCTAGTAGCCTGTGACCCATACTTCTCTGAGCCTTAGTTTCCTCATCTGCAAAATGGGACGATGAAGGTATTCATTTCCCAGGGAGTCATGAGTAAATGAAATACGCACATGAAGCACTCAGCTCACAGAAAGTACTTGCTGTTGTCATGATGATTTATTAATCATCTCTCCCCAGTGTGTGCAGAGCCTGCTCACTGCATCCAGCACCTGCTCCTGCATGGCAGGGCCGGTGACTCTCCGAGGTCTCAGTCAACCCTCCAAGCAGGTGACCAGGCTGACCCTCACCTGCCTTCACCCTCTAACCTACGCGATCTTCTGACCTACCTTCTGGGCAGGAATGATGGCATCTCCCAGAACTCCTGCCTGCCCACACTGGCACCGCCCCTTTTCATCCACAACATGCTTTGGGAGGGGAATCACCACCCCACAGGACAGCTTGGACCACGAGGCTCTAGAACGCTCTAAAGTCCGAGTTCCTGCAGCGATGCCTGCGTCTCCTGCCTGTGTGTCTGAGTTTCAGGATGTCGCACAGTGGGCCCCTTCCCAGCTCAGATTCAGGATGCCCCAGGGTCAAGGGGCCCAGCTTGGCTGCCCTTCTAGCATTCCTCTCGCTCCGCCCAGTCCATTCCCCCAGGGCCGCCCCCTCTCCTGGAGCTAGGAGCTGCTCCCCAGAAGGCCCCCCTGCGAGGTAGTTCACCAGCTCCCAGCAGGAATCCCAGAGCTCTGCAGAGCTTCCTTGAGAGGGGACTCATCCTGGAGCTGGAAACACCTCAACACCTCGGAGAGGAATTAGCACCTTCCACTTCATGAGGGGCCCCCTCATGAGGCTGTTAATGAGATGCTAAGTGGGCACACCTAGGTTGACACCTGCCCCCTGGAGGCCCCCCTTGCCCAGCGTACCCTGAGCCACCGTCCGCTGCCTCCTCAGGCTATGGGCTGGCCCTCAGGGCCTGGCCTGCTTGGGTGCATGCTGCTCAGACTCTCAGAGGTTCCGTGGGCCACCTCCCCGTGCACACGGCCATCTAGGGCACAGGCCAGCCGCTCAGACTATTGGGTTTCACTTCACCCATTCCCCAGGCACCTAGGAAGCATGCAGGGATCGAGTGACTGCGTAACAGGAGTCTTTCCCCAGGGGAGGAGGGTTGCAAGCCCTAGATGGGACAGGAAGGGCTGGCGTCCCTTGGCCCCATGGAGACTGGAGAAGGCAGTGATATCTGCTGCCAGCAACAACACACAGGCGGCATGCCAGTCTCCTCCCTCTTTGGCCCTCCTCTCCTTCTGTGCCCTTCCTGTCCCTCAGCACTCTTCAGAGTGGGTTTCTGGATGACCTCAGGGACCCTTGATGAGGGGAGGTGACCACAGCAGGCAGGCTTCCAGGGGGCTTGCAGGCCACGGCAATTAGAGCAGTTCATCAGCTGCTTTACACATCAGGCTTCCTTGTGACACTGCTTGAATGAAGCAGTTTCCATGCTTAAAAACATCTGAAAGCTGCTGGGTGAGGTGGCTCATGCCTATAATCCCAGCACTTTGGAAGGCTGAGGCAGGAAGATTGCTCGAGCCCAGAAGTTCAAGACAAGCCTGAGCAACATAGCGACCTCGTCTCTACAAAAAACTAACAACAAAAAAAATCAAAAAATTAGCTGGGCACAGTGGTTCATGCCTATAGTCCCAGCTACTCAGGAAGTTGAGGTGGAGGGATCGCCTGAGTCCAGGAAGTCAAGGATGTGGTCAGGGCATGCTAGTCTAGGTGAGAGTGTGAGATCCCCGACTCAAAAAACAAAGTCTGAAAGCCACTGGACGGGATGAGCTCTCAGGTCCATTCTGGCCTTGACTTTCAGAGTTCTGCTTGCAGGATGGCCAAGGGGAGAGACTCCATACAAGCCCTGAGCTCATGCAACCAGCACACGTCTCCCCCCTTGCCTGAAAGGAGGGTAGAAGGGACCACAAAAGAAGACACTGGCCCAGGAGCTCCGAGCCAGGGCCTATCCTTCAGACCTCCCCGTTCTAACCCACCCTCCAGGCATGACAAAGCTGGGCCTGATAACAAAGCCCCTAGGAAGGGGCCAGGCTCAGCAGGGCCTCTGACCTGGGAGGAGGATGAGGCTAGACGGTTTTGGTCCTAGTGCCTCGATTTACTCAGGCGCCCATAGAGCTCCAACCTTTGATGTCCAATGCAGGGGCTAGCCACTTCCGGGAATGAAGCTGCTCCCATCTCCTGTCTGCAAAACAGCATGATGATGATGACAGTGCCTCCCTCGCAGGGCTGCTGGGAGGGCGACGGGAGTTAAAAGTTGTCAAGTGTTGAGAGCAGGCTCTGGCTTGGAGGAGGCACTGGGTAACATGCAGTTTTAATTCAATCAGCCCCCTACTCAATAGCATATGATGCCTCCTAAATGCCTTTGAAATAAAATTAACACTCCCAAACATTAACTATAAAGCTCTCCACCAACCACACCCCACCCACCAGGGCCCTGCCCAAGCACCCAGACCCTCCACCACGTCCACCCCATCCCTGCCAGCCACGCCCACCCACCCGCTCACCCCTGAGTGCACCCTGTGCCCGGGTGTTTCTTCCTCTCCAGAGGGCCCCACTGGCTTCGGGTGCTCCTCCCTGGAGGCCTCGGAGGCCTGCTTGGGTGCCTGTCCCCAGGTGGCCTTACGCCCCGCCCCGGGTGATTGACCTACGCGGATCAGTTGAGTTGGTGGCCCACTTTCCTGTGGGTTTCTGGTGCGTGTGCCTCACCGTCTCTGTTACACCGGAGGGTCCCAAGGAGGAGACCTTGGCCTCCACCTGCTTCTCTGCTTGGAGGCTGGAAATGGGAGTGGGGGCAAGGAAGGGAGCGCGGGGCCTCCAGATGGGGGCAACAACCCCCTCAGACCCCTGGTAAGCTCAGCCTTCCGCCTGCCTGGGTAGGACCCACTACCCACCTGCTCTGGGCAGGTGAGGGCCAGCAGAGCAGGGGCCCAGCTTGCTTGACCTCTGACCTGAGTTTGGCATCACTTTCCTTCCCAAGGGACTCACCCTAGGGAGCCTGGGGCCCCAGTCTTGCCACCCTGTCACGTCTGTGGCAGTGCCTCTTGGTCTGCTTCCTGGGTATGGCTGGACAGCCCAGATGACCACAGGTGGGGACTGCTCCCTCCAGCTCCACTCCATGAGGCACCGCAGGGAGATAATGGGCAGTTGGCAGCCTCATCTCCACCGGCCCGGGGCTGGGGCCCTCAACTACCTGCAGCCACCACGAGGCTTGCCTCTCACTGGCCCAGTCAGCCCGAGGGAGGTCAGCGAAGCTGCCCTAGCTCCAGGGGACGAACCTTTCAATGAAGGAGCTGAGACAACAGACAAGGGAGAGCAGGACGGCCCCGGCGCTGAGTGTTAATGGGATGCCCAGCTGGGGCCATCAAGCCAGACAAGGTCCTGGCGAGACCGGGTCCCCTGCTGGGCAGAAAGTAGCACCTTGTCTCCTCCAGGGCTTGGGGAAGCAATGTGACAATGCCTGCTTCCTCAGCAGGCTCGGTCTGTCCCTGCTTATCTGGAGTGGGGGTGGCAGTGAAGGAGTTGGCAAGAGCTAGGGGACCCAAGGGGGGTCAGCCTGCGTCAGAGCTCATGCTGACTTCTCCACCCTCGGTGGCTGCTGGCTGCTATAAATACCGCTCCTGTCTCTGGATGTTGCAGGAGATGACCTAGAATCACCACTCTGGGGCCTCCTGGGTGCCCCCCACAGGTTGCAGACAGAGCCTGCCTGACCAGAACATCTTTGCAGCCCTCCTTACAGCCCAAGAGCCCGCCCCTGCCCGCAGCAGGGTTCCCAGCCAGGGGTAAAACCCCAACACAGGCAGACAGTGGTGGCTTCCAAGCCCTGAGCTGCCTATGACCGGCATTTCTATCATCTTCGTGGGCACGGCACTGAGGACATCAGGACCCCGGAGAGCCCCAGAAGATATATGGCTCCCAGGGATGTCTGCTTGGCCTGACACCTGCTGCCATCCGTGCCCGCCTGTGCCCACCCAGCCACCACAGCCCCTGGCCTCGGGCTCTCTCTGGGGCCCAGATCAGGGGTGTAGGCTCAAAAGCCATTTGATCCAGAGTCCCCGCTCCCCCCACCTCTCCATGGCTCCTCCTCCCTTCTACGTTTGACCTGGTTTCCAAACTTACCTTCACCCTGGAAGCCTCCCTGGGACATACTCTACTTTGACAGGGACCCTGTTAGACTGTCTAGCAGCTGACAGACAAATCCTCAACAATTTCATTCTTCCATTCCATAGCATGCTTCTGAGCGAGCCCTTCCTCCCTCGAGATCCCCCACAGGCCAGGCCTCAAACCCCAGGCTTGGCTGACCCAGGAGCACAGGACAGGAAGTGGTCGTGGACCCAGGAGGTGCGAGAACCCAACACCCACAAGAGGCCAGGGATTGGTTCCAGGCTCCCCGGCTTAGGGCAGGCTCTGAGAAGAGGCTGGAAACCATGGGGGTGGACCCTGGGCGGTGTGATCAGTGGAATCTGGCTACAATTAACACGCAAGCAGCCATTCTCCATCCATCCAACAAATAACTGGAGTGTCTACTATGTGCCAGAGCTTGGTGGCAGGTGATAAACAGAAGCCGATGTGGTGCCATCCTTCACGGATCCTGCCATCCAAAAGGAAAGAGTCTTTATGTGCATCCAACACACAACAATGAAAACCCTACGACGTGTGTGCAGAAGGGGAGGTGGGGGGCGGCCGCCTGGAGAACTGAGAGCTGGAGCTATTTCTGAAGGACTAGTCAGAGGGAAGGGACTGCAGCAGAGGATGGCAGGGAACAAGCATGGGAGGACGCCCCTTGGCAGTTGTGCGACGATGATGGAGGATGGGGCCGAAACCAGAGTGGCCAGGCAGGCGCAGAAGGAAGGGGTGAGGCAGACAGGCTGGTGGGGCCAGGCCCTGGGGTCTGAGCATAGGATCCCTGGGCCAAGGTGGGCATGAGGGTGGAGAGAAGTGGGTGGCCTAGACAGACATTCAGCAGACAAAACAGTGGCTGACGGGGCAGAAGGAAGTGGGAAGGCGCTATTAGGGACGACCCCAGCTTTCTGGTTGTGCAACTGGGCAGGCAGAGGGGGCACCTGGTCCCAGAGGAATGCCTGGAGATCAGAGGCCAGGGGCTGCACGTCCACCCTCACAGCAACATATTCCCCCAAAGTATCAGTTCAGTTGGGTCCTGACCTCAGGCAGGCACCCTTTCACTGTGCTCAGTTATTCTCGATAGCATGAATGAGGTTCAAAGCATTTCTCCTGAACAATCAACTCCTTGCTCTTCTTGCCACTTGGCCCTGAACACAAATAGGACTACACAGAGGGAATCTTAACTCAAGTGGAGGAGACCTCTGAGCCAATATATGGGTTTACCCAATACAGGAAGGGGAATGGAGAGAGGATCTCTGTCTGCCAGCCACCTAATCAACCAACCACCTAATCAACCAACCAACCAACCAACCATCCATCCATCCATCCATCCACCCATCCACCCACTCATCCATCCATCCATCCATCCATCCGTTGAGGCTCAGAAAACAATACCCCAAAGTGAACACCTCAGAAGCAAAGTTTCTCTCTGACCTTCTGCTACCCTCCTGTCTTGCCCCTCATTCTCCCTTGAGGCAAGATACAGAAACTAGAATTCTTCTTCACCGCCCCTCACTCTCCCCCGAGGCTAACCAAAGAAACTAGACTTATTCTTTCCCAAGGCAGGTCATAGAAACCAGAACCTATCTCCCCCAGAGTCAGTCATAAAGCCTAAAATAGTATCAACCTTCCCCAGGCTCTCTATGTAAGAGCTGGTCATAAAGACATCCTCTGACCTACCTTGTCTGATAGTAGGTCATAAGACCTCCATTCCAGAGAGGGCCCTCCCCATACCCTAGAAGAAGGAATCTGCACAGAGAGGCCAAGAAGACCGAACAGACTGGCCTTGCTGGGTTTCCCATCAGGTCACAACCTTCTTGTCCAATCATAGTTTTACACGGTTGTCCATTCTTCCTCAAATCTAAGCATAAAAATGGATAGTTTTCCCTGTATCTTTGGGTCTTTGTTCTGAAGGCGCCTGTGTCTCCCAAAACTACGACTAAATAACTTTTTTATGCTCTCTTCTTGCTGACTTGTGTGTTATTATGGGAGTGTCAGTCATGACCCTTATGATGGGGAGGAAAGGGATCACCCCCTAGCCAGCCCTACAATCTACCCAACCATCCATCCATCCACCTACCCTCCATACATCTATACATCTATCTACCCATTTATCCATGAACCCACCATTTCCAATCACTCCACACTGTTCCCTGTCTCGGCACCTTTATCCTCACTCCTCCTCCAGCTTGAACACAAGCCCGAGCCCACCTCCGCCCCCAGATCTCTTCATGGCTAGCTCCCCCACGTCATTCAGTTATTAGCTCAAACGTCCCCTCCTGGGACCGGCCTACCCAATCTCAGGCCCCCTAGGCCCTCTCCATCACTCGACTCTGTTTTGTTTTCCGCAGCACTTCTCACCATCTGAAGTCCTATTGTTATTGTGTTCACTGCCTGACCCCCTTCACCAGAGTAGGGCTCCTCAGGGCAGGGGCCTTGCCTGGTTTCTTTCCTGCTGTGTCCCCTGCACTCAACAAAGACCTGGCAGGTGGTGGGAACTTACCTACCACCGGAAGGAGGAGCTATTTCTGAGCACAGCCTGACAGACAGAGGTAGGAGCTTGTAGGAGCCAATGCAGAAGATGCAGGGCTGAGCCCAGACCCCAGGGCTCCTGACTCCCAGCCTGGCTCCATCCGCCCCATCTGCCGGCCCTGTGCCTGGATCCAGAGCCTGATCCTGTAATGCCCACATATGAGACTTCACTGATGCCCAACGACCATGCTGTGGGCGAGGTAGGGAAGAAATGTGGCCTCTTCATTTGACTGAATGTGGCGGGAAGGAGATGAGTGGTGATTTCCCTGTGGGGCTCCCCAGCACTGGCCAACCCAGCTCCGCTCCACTGCCCAGCCCCGTGTCCGCCCTCCCTGTGCATCTGGGCAAGTGTGAGGTGTGGTGTCCACCTCTGTGCAGCATCCTGTGGGTAGGAGGGAGCACCTCTGAGGAAGGGCAAAGAATGCAGCTGGGGGACTCAAGCCCTCACCCTGCAACAGGGCCTGCAGCCTAGGGCCGAGAGGGCACCTCAGCCATGGATCCCATGGCCTAGCTGGAAGCAAGAAGAGGGAGGGCCTGGGGAAGTGACCGTCGCTCTTAGATCCTCAGTGTCCTCATCTGGAAGATGTGGGAGTGGACCAGATGAACTCTAATTTCCTAGAATTCCCTTCTCCACCCCCTTCCCTGCCCATCTTCCCAGTGCTCAATTTCAAACATCTTCAGCCTCAGAGGCAGGACACACCCCGACATCACCCTGGAGGTGGATGGCCAGGAATTACCACGCTGAGGTCCAGTGGTTTTTTTGTTTTGTTTGAGTTGGAGTCTCACTCTGTCGCCCAGGTGGCAAGCTCACAGCCACTGCAGCCTCGACTTGCTGGACTCAGGCAATTATTCCACCTTAGTCTTCCAAGTAGCTGGAACTACAGGCACGCGGTACCATGCCCGGCTTATTATTATTTTTTTTTTATTTATTGTAGAGATGAGTTCTCATCAAGTTGCCCAGGCTGGTCTTGAACCTCTGAGCTCAGGTAGTCCTCTCGCCTCGGCCTCCTAAAGTGCTGGGATTGCAGCCTTGAGTCACCGCACCTGGCCTTGAGGCCCAGCATTTCAAGGGCCCTACTTTTGAAGTCTCAGAACTAAGTTCAAAACCTAACCTGTCACCGACCCCCACATGTGACCTCAGCAGACTCGGTCCTTCTCCATGCGGTGGAAGCGGGACTAGTCGCTGCTTCCTGGGCTGCTGGGAGAATCGAGGGAGAGGACGCGTAAAGGGCAGGTCCTCCTTGCACGTGACCCTGACCCGCTCTCTGCCAGCTTTCCAGGAGTGTGAGGACAAACAAAGTCTACCTCAGAGGCTTGAAGAAAAGCACTATAAAAAGCTCCAGCAACATTACTTCCCCTTAATAAGAGCCTCAGGCTTCTGCACACACACCCCCACCATGTGGGGGCTCATCCATATCCGCGTCTCTTCTCCTCCGGCTCACACCTGCATGATCCGGGAGACGGAGGCAGAGAGCAGGTGCCTGAGAGGTGCCTCTGCCTGGCATCTCTCCTGCCCTGGGGCAGAGGGCGAGGGGGGACAGCGGCATGTGGGGACTGGGCC